TAGAAAAAGAACAACAAAAAAAACCCAAAACCAGTAGAAGAAAAGAAATAATAAAAACCAAAGCAGAAATAAATGAAATTGAAACTAAAAAAACAATCCAAAAGATCAATGAAACCAAGAGCTGGTTCTTTGAAAAAATCAATAAAATAGACAAACCCCTAGCCAGGCTCACAAAGGAAAAAAGGGAGAAAGCACAATAAACAGGATCACAAATGAAAGAGGAGAAATCACAACGGACACAGCAGAAATCAAAAGAATAATCAGTAACTACTATGAACAGTTATATGGAAACAAGTTCAACAATCTAGAGGAGATGGACAAATTCCTACAACTCTACAATCACCCAAAGCTAGATAAAGAAGAAATAGAACACCTAAACAGACCAATTACAATTAGCGAAATTGAAATGGTAATCAAAAACCTCCCCGAAAACAAAAGCCCAGGACCTGATGGATTTACAAATGAATTCTACCAAACATTCAGAGACGAATTAGTGCCTATCCTTCACAAACTCTTTCAAAAAATTGAGAAGGAAGGGACAATACCAAACACGTTCTATGAAGCCAACATTACACTAATACCAAAACCAAACAAGGACAACACAAAAAAGGAAAACTACAGGCCAATCTCCCTAATGAACACTGATGCAAAAATCCTCAATAAAATTTAAGCTATCAGAATCCAACAATGTGTCCATAAGATAATTCACCACGACCAAGTAGGATTCATTCCAGGGACACAAGGATGGTTCAACATCCGAAAATCAATCAACGTTATCCAACACATCAACAAAAAGAAATATAAAAACCATATGATAATATCAATAGATGCTGAGAAAGCTTTTGACAAAGTGCAACACGCATTCATGATAAAAGCCCTTGAAATTCTTGGGATACAAGGAACATACCTCAACATCATAAAGGCCATTTATGACAAGCCAACAGCCAGTATCATTCTCAATGGTGAAAAGCTGAAAGCAATTCCATTAAGATCTGGAACAAGACAAGGATGTCCACTCTCACCACTGCTCTTCAATATAATACTGGAAGTCCTAGCCAGAGCAATAAGACAAGAGAAAGACATCCAAGGAATCCAAATAGGAAAAGAAGAAGTCAAACTATCACTATTTGCAGATGATATGATAATATACATAGAGAACCCCAAAAACTCCAAAGAAAAACTAATTCAACTCATCAATCAGTTCAGTAAAGTGGCAGGATACAAAATCAACACACAAAAGTCAGTAGTCTTCCTATACACAAACAATAAATCTGAAGAAGAAGAAATCAAAAAAACCATCCCTTTTATTATTGAAACAAAAAAAATCAAATATTTGGGAATAAATCTAACAAAAGAGGTAAAGGACCTATACAAAGAAAACTATAAAACACTGTTAAAAGAAATAGAAGAAGACACAAAGAAATGGAAAGACATCCCCTGCTCATGGATTGGAAGAATAAACATTATTAAAATGGCCATCCTACCAAAAGCAATCTACAGATTCAATGCTATTCCAATCAAAATTTCAATGTCCTTCTTCAAAGAAATAGAACAATTATTGATGAAATTCATATGGAATCACAAAAAAACCCGAATAGCCAAAGCTCTCCTGAAAAAAAAAGAAGGGAATGGAGGCATCACACTCCCAGACTTCAAACTCTACTACAAAGCCATAATCATCAAAACTGCATGGTATTGGAACAAGAACAGACACACAGACCAATGGAATCGAATAGAAAATCCAGAAATAAACCCACAGATTTATGGTCAACTAATCTTTGACAAAGGAGCAAAGACTATCCATTGGAGCAAAGAAAGTTTGTTCAATAAATGGTGCTGGGAAAACTGGGTCGCTACATGCAAAAGAATGAAGCTTGACCACTACCTCACACCATACACAAAAATCAACTCAAAATGGATTAAAGAACTAGACATAAGACCTGAAACCATAAAATACATAGAAGGAAATATAGGCGAAACACTACGTGATTTGCACATCAAAGACATCTTTACAGACACATCACTCAAAGCAGTGATAGTGAAGGCAAAGATAAACATCTGGGACTACATCAGATTAAAGAGCTTCTGTACAGCAAAAGAGACAATAACAAAAACAAAGAGAAACCCCACCAACTGGGAGAACATTTTTGCACACAACACTAATGATAAAGGACTGATCACAAAAATCTGCAAAGAGCTGATGAGACTCAACAACAACAAAGAAAATAATCCCGTCAAAAAATGGGCAGAAGAGCTAAAAAGAAACTTCTCTGAAGAGGAAATGCAAATGGCCAACAGGCATATGAAGAAATGTTCAACATCACTTGTAATCAGGGAAATGCAAATCAAAACTACCATGAGATACCATCTTACACCAGTGAGAATAGCACATATTAAAAAAACTAGCAACAACAAGTGTTGGTGAGGGTGTGGAGAAAAAGGAACTCTTCTGCACTGTTGGTGGGAGTGAAAACTGGTCCAACCATTATGGAGAGCTGTGTGGAGATTTCTGGACCTACAAAACATAGAGCTTCCATATGATCCAGCAATTCCACTCCTCAGTATTTACCCAAAGGACACAGAAACATCCATTCCAAAGAACACCTGCACTCCTATGTTTATAGCAGCACTATTTACAATAGCTAAGCTTGGGAAACAGCCCAAATGCCCAAAAATAGATGACTGGATCAAGAAGATGTGGTACATATATACCATGGAATATTACTCAGCATTCAAAAAAGATAAACACATGCAATTTGCAGCAACATGGATGGCGCTGGAAGGGATCATGCTCAGCGAAATAAGCCAAAAAGAAAAAGAAAAATACCGGATGGTTTCACTCATAGCAGGAATCTAGAAAACTTAAATAAGGGACCAGAAGAATGAATAACTATAAGAAAGCAAAAATCAAAATCAACAAAAAACTATGAACCAGAGACACTTTTTGGGGGGTGAGGGGCGGGAGGTGAGGGATTGGGGTCAGAATGGGGGGGTTGCAATTGTATGGGGAATATAAAAATAAAATTTATTATTTAAAAAAAATAAATAAAAATAAATAAAAAATAAATAAAAATGGAAAAAAAATAAAATGAAATGAAATAAATGGGAAGAAGGAAAGAACTGTAAAACAAACTTACATAATTCTTGTGGAAATGAATGCAAAGCAAACTTAGGGAAATATGAATGATTTCATTGAAAAATGGGTTTTCAAGTAGATACTTTGTCCTATTGAATTAAACAGTTATAGGCTATACTGGATAGAAAAGACTTATTAAAACCTTTGGTTGTACCATTAAGTTGTAAATTAAAAGGAGTAAAATTTGGCTACAGTTGATAAATCAATACTGGTGGTTTAAATTCAAAGAATAGTTAAGTGCTCTGTGCAAATTATATTAATCATTGACTCTCTGCTCCATGTGCAAAAAATAGGTGAAGAGTAGAGCAGAGCAGTTAACTATCGCTATTTATTGGTCCAATTCAGGAGATGATCCAAGGCAACAGAGAGCAGACTCACTCTGACTGAGAAGGTCAAATTTCAATAACTATGTGAAAGGGGAGAACTGTTGTGTATGATAAAGACCAAGGTGTCCTTATCAAGAGAGAGATGAAGTCCATTTTTGAGATTAGAATCCTCAAGGAATTCATTCACAAGACTTCACTGACATAAAGCATGACTGATTAGCATGGTAGTTTGCGCAGCCATTCCCTAATACTGCTCTGAGACTTCCTGGGAAATATCAATAACTCAAGGCTGACATTCAGCTACCAGGATAACTAGAAAAAAATCTGTATCAGCTGATAATTTAGCTGCAGTACTGAGCCCCTGGTGCTACCCAACTCTCAGATCCTGAGGAGTTCAAGACAGGTGGAAAAGAGGATCTGTTGTAGTGCTACCAGTCAGTTCTTTAAAGTTCCATAATGTACACACCTTGGTTAAAATGAGACCAGAAACTAAAGGTAGCAGGTCACATCCTATCAATGACAAACAGCATCCATTAGGGAAATGCCTGGTGTCTGTCTGGCTCCCTGAGTATATAGCTAACCCTCATTGGCTGGTATTACCCTTCACTCTGGCTACGTGTGTAGCACGATCTCTACAGTGTATAATATCTGTCACTAACTAGCTTGGCATTCCCGCTACACTAACCTCTAACTTCCTGGCTGCTCTATCTCCAGTGAGTCAGAGAAGAGTAGTTGAAAGTGTCTTCTCTCAGAGAGTGAGAGAAAAAAAGTGCTGAAATCACTTCCTAATGCTCCCAATATCACTCAGTCTTTAGTCAATTAAATAAGCTTTTGAATTTGGAATAACAGCAAAATACAGAAATATTTTTTCAGCTTTAATCCTATTTGCAAGTCAATATCATTTGGGGTGATGGTGATTCTTGATTAATAACTTTGATATAATGAACAGAATAAAGAAATAAATTAAGCGCAGAAGGTTCCCAGCTCTATGAAACACAAACGCTAACTACTAACATCAATTTTGCAATTTTATGCAACTACAAGGCTTGTTACCTCATTTAGTGACTCAAATTTAATTTATGAATCAACTGTCACAGCTTACTCAACTCTCAGTAATGAGAGGCAATTTACTCAAGAGCCTTGTTATCTAAGAAACTTCCAGTGCATGCACCATGGGCAGAATAGGAGCACTATATATTTTTAAAAGTTAAAAATGACAGCATTATATTTTCTTTATGTAAAATTTTATCGATCTATATTATCACCTTTAATTAGTTAAGACAAAGTCAGCTACTAATTCAGTTCTAAATTCTTCATGTGGATTCATTTTGGTTGTGTTTTAGAAATAAATGCCAAATATTTAAAAATAAATATGATAAACAGCTGCTTTTGTTCATTATATCAGGAAATAATGGAGTGTGATAAGAAACAGTATTCTTCCACCCAAGAACTAAAATTTAAACAAATAACAAATTCAAGATATAATTTCAGAAGTGGAAAATGATTTTAAAAAGAGAAAGAGAACAGAGGCACTATACCTGCTGCAAATCCAGGGTGATTGTCACATAATGATATTCAATTCCATTCTTAATACTGGGACTCTGCCACCAAGTGTTCTTTCCATCAATAGCATTTGTAATTGGGTGTCTCTCTATTGAGTCATCAGCAACAGCATACAAAGGAGAAAAAAGATCACAGAACAAATTTATGGCTGTTTCTTTAAAGAAAAAGGTCAAGTGAAGCTAAATGATCATCATTTAAAATCAGACATTAAAATAACAAAAAGATATCAATTCACATCTTCAACAGAATTTACTTAATGCCAATTTTTTCACACCCCTCTACAAGGTAGTGTGAAATGGATACATGCCTAAGTTATAAGAGAAGAGGCTTCTCGGCACTAAGGCCATGATCTAAAATGGACAACTTTAAAGATTACTATAGATATTAAGTGTGAGGAAATTATGTTGAAATCTAATGGATGTGTCAATCATTCAAAGAAGCAAAACCTCTACAATCTGAGGAAGCTCTAGTATGCTATCAACTTTGTTAACAGATACATAAAATCCTGAATTGTAGTTGAAAGGTATGTGAAGATTTGCGCTTCTGAAACATTCATTATTACCAAGATGTGGGCAATCCAACATGTATCTGGTTTTAATATAAAATGCTATCAAATTCATCCCATAGGCTTTTTTCAGTCAGTCCTTAACTTGCCAACTTCCTATCACTATTTAAAAATATAGTGAAAGATGCTCCAAACCTCCCATATAGCATTTGTTAATCCCATAATCATTTATGCAGTGCAGACAATAATTAGGGAAAGGATGGTTTAAAAAAAAAAAAACCTCCATCCTACCAACAAAATAAGGAACTTAAGGAACTTCGCTGACCTTTACTCCAGTTAGGTAAGCATAGGATAAAACTTAGGAGTTATAGACAATTGTTAGCATACCAGTTTCCTTCCTTACAAGCCCCAAATTTCGCAGATTCCTCATTCCATCCTTTTTAGCTCCGCACATCTCTTAACAGTAGCCATTACCCCTGAGCTGCCTAAACTCTCATTCCTTTTGTTCTCATCTGAAACCTGCACTACCAAATCTCACTTCCCAAATATTTTAAGTTTTGTTCCTTTTCTCTTCCTCTAATCAGACCCAGCACATGTGCAAGTGAGGATGGCAGCAGTGGAGATTTTCCTACTTTCAGTAAGGGCACTTAGCTTCTAACACCTCACTTGGGAGTTGGTATATTTGCCCAAAGGATGTAAACAAAGAAGTGAGCTTTTTTGAAACTCTTCTGTGCTTGCTACTTATCTTTAGAAGATGTTTCAAATGAATGGCCTAAGAATAACCTTTTCATTTGGCACACAATTTTTTTAATTCAAAGGAATACAGGGTTTTTTTCACTATCTGAAGCAGCACATTCCCAAGAGACCGTTTTTAAGTCTAAACGGCATAAAACCAAAAGGCACTCACTCATATATATAGAAAAATATTTTAGTGTTCCTAGATGCCCCAAATAATCTACCAAATCATACCAAATCGCACATACAACCTGGAACAACATTAATATATAGTACAAGCAGGAATGATAAGATAAATACCCAGGCTTTATTAGCAGTTCTGGTTAGGAGGTTGGCAGTGCCACTACCTGCTCGGAGTGCATGCTGCCTCTAACACAGCTGCTGCAAAACAAACACTGAAAATGCTTTTCACTTTTTGCCTTTTTGTTACAAAAGTGAAAATCCTTTTTGCATTTCTTTTTATCAGCAAAAGCAATTTCTAATGTAAATCTTTGGTAAAAGCAAAGGGATAAGGCAAACTTTAAAAAGTGGGTAGTACCAGTACTTCAAATAATAAACAAAATATATCACTATGAGAAACAATCATGATCTCTTGATTTGCCTACGTAATGTGGTAATCTAGTCAATATTGGAATGATAATGGTAATGAAAAAGCATAAAGTCTGAAATATGAAGAGCTGGAGTATGAGTTGCTAGATGTTGTTCCTGGTTCTACCATCTAGCATATAATTGATCATGGGCAAGTCAAACCTGGTGTGTCATTCTTGAAATACAGATAAAATTCCACTTATATGGTGATTCCAGATTAATTTTCAGGAAAAAAAATTCTTAAGCAATATGTGTGTGAGAGATATTTAAAGAATTAATATAGGCATTCTAGCTCTTCTCCAATAGTAAACTCCCACCTACATGTACTATTATTTAATATATCATTAGTATTTAGTCATAAAATGAAGGACACTAAAACCAACTACAGTTTTTTGGGTTGTTTTTTTTTTTTTTCAGTTTTATATAGTTAGTTATGCATAGAAGAACTGGGGTGTAGTCTAGAGGTGCGGGAGGTGAGAGGATTCACCAGAGACAGATTGGGGAGCAGAACAGTCAGATTTACTGAAATACACCACTGAAATACACCACTGGGCAGCAGGAGAGACAGGAGAGGTCTGCTGTGTCTGGGCTGGGGATGGAACTCAAACCCTAATGGTGGTAGCCATGATAGCACTGAGATTTAACCCCTAGGCCACCAGAGAAGCTCCCAGCTACAGTTTTTAAAAAAAAAAAAATATCAAAATGAAGAATAATTCTTCAAAATATATTTATTTTATTTTCATGAAAAATTTGGATTTTGTTCTCATTTTTTCATTTTGCCATAGACCACTAAAAGTTTCTCTGATGGGAATCTTCAACTCAGTTACCAGAGGAACATTATAACTTAACATTCTAAATCATTATTATAAATATACATAAAATAAATGATACATCTGTTCAAAATATACTCTTCTGAATCTTAATAAGAGACAAATTGTATTTAACAAAAAGTTTAAAAATAACAATAAAATTTAAGCCAAATTCTTCAATGTAACTGTAGTTTATTAGTGAAGCAAAATCATTTTCAGAACATTTTTACTAAAAACTAATTATTATTAAATTTGCCACTTTCAAACTGCCACATTTTTAATCTATATTAATTTCATCAAAATAGTTTGCTATAACTTCTTTAACTGAAAACATGAAGATAAGACTTTGAGTCACTTAAAAGTATATGACACTAACATACTATGCTGTTCTTAATGATAAATTTTTTTTTATTCAATAAACAGCTGGATCAACTTGTTTTGTACCAAGTCCTATCATATTAGCAGTCCACTGAGATGAGGCATCCTAGCTCATTAATGAAAAGAAAACAATGCTGAGTATATTTAATAATTAGTGCTAGTTAACTTCTATTGAAATTAGAGAAGGTGTCAGGTTTTTATAATAGCAGCAAATACCAGAAGCATAACTAAATATCAGTCAAATGCCCTTTGGTATGTTGGTGCTGAAATTGGCATATTAGGATTCAGAACTATATAAGAAATATTATTGGCATTACTCCTAAAGAAAAATAAATATCATAAAAAATATTCCCCAAACAGCCTCCTGAATTTTCTTTGCAGATTGGGGGTTTAATATGTGATAGAAAACCAGACACACAATCACATTTCCAAATCAAATTTGTGACTCTTAGGTAATTGTGAGAGAAGCTATGTAATTGGAAAGTTTGATATCTGCCACTTTAGGTCAAATTGATATGAGAGTTAGTCATGAAAAGAAGACTGGGAGATTAATCAACAATTAACCATAATCCCCATTATGAGAGTTTAATCATAATTAATTTGCAAATACTGATTAATTGTTGGCATACTTCCCTTATTTAAAAGGATAGCGAAACTTACAACATCCTCAACAAGGATAACTATGCAAGTCAATCCAAAGGCTAACTGCATCTGAAAATTGGTGAGGGAATTATTGATGAAGAAAACCTTTCAAACTGCTAGTTTTTAATTGGGAAGCACAATCTATTAAGAGTCAGGAAGGTCAAGTTTTCTTTTCTTTGCATAGCAATTAAGCACAGACCTTCCACATTTGTTTCAGCTGTTTGCTGAATTTGTGGAATTATATTGTCTGTTACTCCAACATTTACAAAAATATATTCATGTGGTTACTTGCTAGATTTTTATTCTTGTGGGGGTATTGTTCTTTCTAAGTTTCTAGTTCCAAACAGAACTTTGCAATGCAATGAAACTGGTAACTTAAACTTAATTTAATCATACAAAGTTAATCCAGGCTGTGACACATTAGGAAAAAAAAAAAAACTACATTAAATAAAAATGAAGTATTAAAGAACATTCCTTGGGCCTCCCTGGTGGCACAATGGGTTAAGACACAACCTATGAAGCTATTTGCAGCCACTGCAGCTCGAGTTCAATCCCCAGCAGCCAGGAAGCAACCCACATGGCAGGGCAGAACTCTCCTCACTAGCCCGTTGCTCCCCTCAGCAGTGTACTTCAATCTGCCTATTCTGTTTCCCACTTTCTCTGGTGAATCCTCTCACCCCCTGCACCTCTGGCATGTACCCCAGTTCTTGTATGCATAAATAAAATAAATCTTTAAAAAAAGAACATTTCTTATGTGTATCTTGCTTTACTAAAACAATGTATTCACTTTTGCACCAATGTAAAAATATGGGGTGGGATTACCTAAATATAGATATCTTTTGTTAAGACCTAAGACAAACTAAATATAGAACTCTGGAAAGAGAAGTGATAGAACTACTCTTGGACTCAATTTGGAAAAAGCATCTCGATTTTTCCAATTAAAGTTTCCATTCAATTATCTCCCATCCAAATCTTTGTACTTTCCTTCCATCTGTTACAGAGAAGAAATCTCCATATAGGGGGAGTTCCATGTCTCCTGTCCCATGTTCCCTTTATTAGTCCTACCTAATAAAGGGTATAGCTGAGTGGCAAAGGGAAGCTAGAGAAGACTTGAACACTTGAAGGACACATAGAGACAGAAGGAGAGACAAATGGAGCAGAGATCTGTGAAGAAGTCCCACTTGCTTCTCAGATTTGGACTTGCACCAGGGATTTGGGGAACTTGGAGAGAGAACATGGAGACAAGACATGTAGAGACATTTGTACAAATTGATATATTTGATGATTCCCATTATATATATCTATTTTATACATACATATTATCAACCTCCACCTTTAAAATTATCTCAAGCTATTCTCCCATCCTCCAATAAATTCATTAAATCAAACTATTTACAGTTCTCTGAATAGATGGTGCTGGTTCATACCATCAAGATTTAGGCATGCTTTTTCTCTTATTATCCTTTCCCCTATTTATCTTACTCTTATTTTCATAGTACATGGGTTACTTTTTCTCAGGAATCTTTAGTGACCTCTCTTAAGTCAAGGATTGTGTGTGATTTAACATTATGCTCCAGTATGATGTGTTAGGAGCAGGTGTTAAATTCCTTGCTGAATAAATATATGAATGATTCTGAGATATCATGTGGTTCATGTAGATCAGCAAGATAGTTTTGGATAGCAATTTTCTTTAAAGCACTCCATTTCTTGTATTTAAGAACCTTCATAATCTGATTCTAGCTTCTGTACCAGGTCAATCTCTACACTGACTACTATATTTTCAGTTCTAGGTAATTCCCTGAGAAATTGAGATTTCCTCTCATATTCTGTAGCCTCTTCCTGGCATTCTTTCTTCTCTCCCTCCTCTCTCCTCTTTACCTGCTCAAGACATACTGGTCATTGAATTTCAGTTTAGGTCTCACTTCTGGCAAAACTTTGTTTATACCAGGAATGAAACTGCAACCCTTCTCTCTCTTCCTCAAGTCCCTAAGTTAATTCTTTCATTTGTACTTACCACAGTACATAACAATAGTCTGCTTTTTGCCCATTTCTTTATTAGTTAAAGCAGGAACCACACCTTATTCTCTTTGGATCTCCATCACAGTACTTAGCACATAAGTGACCAATGAATGACTGAAACCTGAATTAGTAACCACATCTTCAGATGCAATTCCAGAAGCAGTAAACCTAATGATTGCCACATGTATTGAGCTGGAAAACCTTCCTCAAACACTAAGTTGGTGTAGGTATCCCCACTTACCAACAATTCAAGTTATATTACTTATTTTTACCAAAGTCTACATTAGTATATGTTTTCACTAACTGAATGAAATCTGGTAAGGATTTTCACTTTTACAACAACAGCAAAATAGCATTCGCCATTGGTTTTGCAGCAGCTGTACCAGAAGCAGTATGAGTGGCACTGCCAAGTTCCTTTCCCCAGAAATACTTTATACAGGCCTTGCATTTTTCAAATCATTCCTGTTTTTAATATTTGGTAGTATAATTAGGTTTTATGTGTATTTTGCTATGATTTGGCAGTATTTGGGAGGGGGCCTGGAAAAATTCAAAAATATTTTCATGTAAATGGTAATTGTTTCCTGTTGTATCTATTTCAGTTCATGAAAGAATTCATAGAAATGCTAGCATTTCTGATAGAGTGGGAGAAAGCTGCATGGAGAATTAACTCCAATCATGTTTGTGAAATGACAGAGAGGGGCTATAAAGAAGTTCACAAAGTCTAGGAATTCGGGGGCACACAAGACTTTTGACTTTAGTGCAACCTGGCCTCAAAATCTCTCAATTATAGATCATCTCCAGTACCATATGCATATATAGTTGAGTACATACGGTAGGGATTGCTGCTGTTTTGATTGCAGATTCGACATTGGGGGTTCCTCACAGGCTGCCCAGGGACATGCTCTACCAACTTGCAGTACATTTCAGGTCCTTTTTCTCCACATGTTGCATTTGTGGTGATGAGAGCATTAGAAGCAAGGTTCAGAACAGCAGGAAATAAACCTGGAAAAGACAAAGACAAAAAAAAAAAATTAAGGTGTGAGAGTCCAAAATTATGTGGCATGATTTTGCTGCTGAAAATAGCATAGGATATTTTTCAGAGTATTAATCAAAAATGAAAGATAATTAAACAACTGACTTAGTTAAGAGCTACATAAGTAGCATATTTTATCAAATGAATATTTATTTCTAAAGTTTTCTTAATTTTTGACATCTAATAGTTAATGAGAACAAAGCCCTGTCTCTAACACACAGTTAAAGAATAAAAAGTAAATACTGAATCCCTCTTCTTTCATTTCAGTTATTTTATATGTAGGGTAAAAATATAATCACCTGTAAAGATTTTGCACAACTATGCAGCTATGTTTTCTGTGGCCATTTTTATTCCCAAATTATCATTTAGCATGTTATTGTGATTTCTTTATACTGGGAAAAACAAAATATGATGAAAGATCTTGGAAAACCATTCTTTACCACCTTTATGCTATGTCATCATATTACACAGCAATATCTTATCAGGAACAAGTTATTGCATTATCCATGATCAATTCCTACAAATGATTTCTTTTGTTTTTTTTTTTTAAAGATATATTTATTTATTTACAAGCACTGGATACAGTCAGAAGCGCGGGAGGGTGAGAGGATTCACCAGAGCCAGAGCAGGGAACATAACAGGCAGACTGATGAAATACCCTGCTGAGGGGAGCAGCAGGCGGCAGGAGAGGTCTGCGCGCTATGAGGGACCCTCCCCAGTGGCCGGGGACCGAACTGGTACTGGTGCTGCAGAGGCTGCGGGCAGCTTCGCAGCCCAGCACTCAACTGTTGCGCCATCAGGGGAGGCCCCCTACAAATGATTTCTTAGAAACAATAACAGTTTTGGTTTGCTTAGGTATAATCTCAGAGGCCCATCCAATGTGAGGCAGGGAGATCTTTTATTTCATGTGAGAAGTTAATTCAGGCTTTTTCCATTCTATAACTTAATGTCTCATATTTGCATGTCTCATATTTGCAGTTTATATACCTCTGTCCAATGTCAATTTAGTAAAGACACTTATCAGAAGCCACTCTTCAAGTGAAAAACTTGTCGTGGAGAAAGTACATTTAAGATTGTAGATAACATGATTGAATTTATGTAAGGAACAGGTTGACCATGTCTCTACCCTATACATATAACACGTAGGTAAATATCAGTTCAATCTCTGACAGGAAGTCCTTTCCTTACTCTATCCTTTGTCTTTTTTTATTGAGATACCTAGAGTTTTACATTGGTGTTTTCTGTCATATCTTCAACAATAGCACATGCTGGCAACAGAACACAACTGAATGCATTTGTGAAATAGATGAATTGTAAATATTGCCCTCATAAATATTCTTCTGCATAATGACAATAATAGCCAACATTATTGGATGTTTATAATGCTTCATGCACTATTCTTTCAGGGATTATTCTAACACTCTTTACCTGCATGAACTAATTTGCAACACACGACATCCACATGAACTACCTGCTAATATTATCCCTATTTCATGAGCATGTTCATTAACTTGCCCAAGATAATAGCTAGCAAGCAGGAGAGTTGTGATTTGAACCCAAACAGTCTGGCCTCAGAATAAACACTTTACTCAGGATGCTACAGGGCCTATATAATGCAGTATGAAACCTACGTAAATGTAATGCTATAGTGTGCTCCTGGTTGACCTCAGAATTGCATTGAAAGAATCAATGATACAGCAAATAAAAATTAATTCAAAATACCTTGAATCTCTTTTGCAATTGCTCTCAAAAATTTCAAAGATGTGAATGAATTTGTTTTGAAAGATTTTTTTTTTTTACACAATAGTGGGGGTACAGGCCAGAGGTGCAGGAGGGTGAGAGCATTCACTAGAGACAGAGTGGGGAGCAGAACAGGCAGACAGACTGAAAGCACTGCTGAGGGGAGCAGCGTGCACAACAGGAGAGGTCTGCCCTGCCATTTGGGAAGCTTCCTGGCTGGCCGGGATTCAAATCTGCGCCGCAGAGGCTGAGGATGGCTTCACAGAGGGGTGTTCAACCCGCTGAGCCACCAGGGAGGCCATAATGAATTATTGTTTTATATGCATACTGCATGCAATTTTATTCAATTTCTAATTTCTTTTTATTGAGGCAGTATTGGTTTACAACATGTATATGGTTTAAAGGAACAGGTTCACACTTCCTCAGATGAATATTATCACAAAAGTAAATTAATTCTTAAGACCAGTCAAAACCTCAATTCTCATCTCAGTCACTCTCAAAGTTTCCCAAAAAACTACCCACAGAACATTTCAATTTTTCTTGTGATCTTTGTCTCCTAACCTCTGACTATTCCTGATCTTGACGCTGGCATCAGGTTCTGTTACCCAGGTATAAGACTCACCATGCATTGCTTTGGTGGGATCTGTGCACCATGATTTAAGGTGACTATTCATGTATTTTGTGAGATTAGAGTAATTATGGGGGAGGGCAGATGATGACTGGCAAGAATTACTTAACTATATATTGTGTGTTCTAAAAATACAGAATTATATCTTAATTTCCCCACAGAATTAAATGAATAAAATGTGAGTAAAATGACATAGCTATAAAATGATTATAGATATGGAAATAGTATTGATGAAGAAGCTGTTACATACTCACTGTATAACATGATTTAATCCCCATGTAATCTATCATGTAGATTGTATTAGTCCCATTTTATAAATGAAGAAAGTGCAGCAAAGATAAATAATATGCACAAAGTTATAAATTAGTAACGTGAGAACCAAGATTTGAACTCACCTCTTTAACTCAGAAGATATTCCTTTTTAATTTTTTTTTATTGAGATAACATTGATTTACACTGTTGTTTATATTTTAAAAGTATAAAATTCCCCCCTTCTGGCAATGTTACTATAGTGTTTCCACTTACAAAGCACTCAGAATCCACTAGGAGAGTGCTCCCTTCCTGCAGAAGACTTATTTTTATGTGGCATATTCTTACATGGCACATCCAGGACCTGGTCCTCAGCAAAATTAACCAATTTATATAGTTAATAAAAGGCATAACTTACCCAGTCACCATCCCTTTGTTGCACCATAAAGTTTTCTACTTAAAAACTAAAGATATTAATAAAATTTGCATTTACTATCATTCAGATCTTTCTAGTGACTTGTTTCTGTTATACTTATTGATCATGAGCCTAGAAATTAACCTTTCCACAATTTAATTGCCTTGCTTAGTAGAGAACAGTTGCTTTTTAAAATTTATCAGCTATTTTGCTGTTTATTTTTAAAAATCAGTAAAGTCTATTGGTCAGGGAAGGTCCCTAATTAGTTGCTAATGACCAACTTGAAAAATCAATCAATATCTGAGCTTTTATTGAATCTTCAGCAGGCTGTATTAAGGACTGAAGCTCATTTTTCTTTATATGTTAAATCTATCAGTCTATACCTATTTATTCCCATTCAAAATCAACGGAGCAATGTTTATTACCATATTCAATATGGGTTACTTGGTTAAGATTATGTAAACATTGTAAGTGTAAATAAACTAGAAATACTTAGTGAACCTCTCTAGAGTATGATTTATAGCTTTTCAATTCTATCTGAGGTCAGGTTAATATTAATGACATAAAATCCAATGATCATTAACCATATAATCATAACTGACATTTAAGAAAAAGTATTTAGACTAATTAAATTTGGTTGGATTTGTTGTTTAAGGAGAAATATCTGAGCAAAAATCAAATAATATTTACTCTCTTTTATATTTTATTAGGCTATAGTATGTATATTATATGTACAGACAGAAGAGAGTACTCTGCTCTGTATATATATATATATATATATATATATATATATATATCCATTTAGGAAATAGATACACTAGAGTCTGTTCCATCAGGTTAAAAAAAATAGAAATTCTGCTATAATCAGTAAACATTTGAAAAATTCACCAAATTCTTAGTGTTTTTATTAGTGCTATCTCCAATAGTGTGATTTGTTCATACAAATTTGTATGATTTTTAGGATCTGCATTCCCAAAATACCACATTCTTGCTTCAAATAGCAGACGCATTCTTAAAACCCAAGCATGGAAATTCCACTTTTAGTAATCATGGAGTAGCTCTATTGAACCAAACCTCCCACAGACAACAGCTGTGAATTCTAAACAAAAAAATATTTTTAAAAAATTCCTGAAGACTTTAGAGAACAACCCAAAACAGGTGAGTCAAGAGGGATGTGTATTCTTAGAAGATATCAGATAAGCTCCAGACTGTTCCACAGATGGCAACTAAAATTCAATAGAAACTGATAGTTTACATTTTCGAAGAACCAGAAACTAGAACTATGGACAACCACGGCAGATAGAAGTGAGGAAGAAATGCTGGAAAGAAGACAGTCATAGAAAGAGAGCTTCAAAATATGTGTATAATTTTTCCCAAATTACTGAAACCAGATATACCTATGCTGCAGGCACACAAAGTACTTGAGTCCAGTGGGGCTAAAAGAACTGAATAGAGATCAAGTTTGGGGCACTCCTCAGGAATGTATAGCATAGATAAGAGTATAGAATTTGAGTATAGAAAGTTAGCTCACTGATATAACAAAAAGATAAAAGATGAAATATCCATTTAGATAAATCAATGCACATAATATAAACAATAATAGATGAAGTAAATATTCTGAAAGAAAAGAAAGAAGATGAATTCTCAGTGTACTTTCAGACCTATGATTCAATACAGTGGAATAGAAACATTTTGGGGTTTATTTTACTTAGTACAATGCTTTCGAAATTCATTCATGTTGTGTATTAGTGCTTTATCCTCTTTTATTGCCAAGTAGTTATGCATTGTATGGATATACCAAAAAGTGTTTACCCAATTACTAGCTGATCAACACCAAAGTAGTTTTCAGGTTGGGACTACTATGAATCAGGCTGCTATGAAATTTCTATAGCAAAAAATAAAAATAAAAAATGGAGGACTGTTGTTCAGAAAATACA